CCCTATACGGTCGCTATGGTGGAAGTCAACTTGATGGCAGAGAGTTTGAGTTCTTTGTGCTTTTATTATCATTAGCATAAACGTTCCCTACATGCCATATCAAAATTTGATTGTACATTGTGAGGTAAATCTCCAAGGGAACCTAAGTCAGAGTTGTTATTATGTATCCTTTATCATAAGAACAGAAAAACTCTTGGTTAGCTTGTTTAGGATATGGTTGACCCAGATTCACCTGGACCTTGATGTAAACAAATTCTTTACTAGGTTGGCACATGTTCTATCTGACTCTAAATACCTCCCAGTGTAGACATTCACTGATATTCAAAAAACAAGCCATAAGTTAGGAATTTCACAAGCTTACCAAAAGAAAGCCTTGTAGCAGAGACTAATGAGCCATCAAATGATTTCTGGAAATCAGAGATGGAAGATGAACATGACGAGAGCCCTGAATTAAGGTTCTAGCTCTGGGAGGATGAGAAAGTGGCACTCTTAGGGAGGACTCACTGGGTATAAGGCAAAAGTAATGCCTCAGTGCTCAGCACTGATCAGCTGTGTCATCCAGGCAAAATCAACACTGGGCGCTATTTTTCACTCTTGTCGATGAGAACATGCTGGCTTGTGGCTAATTGATCAAATAGATGTCATTACACATACAGTTTGTTATTATTTTATTATTTATCTGTCCATATTCTATTAGGAAGAAAGGATATTTGATACATAGGTACGAAAAAATTTATCAGAAATTATTAACACATGTATATGCTCAAGGTGTCCATGACCAAAATTTCCCCTTTGGGTGGAATATCTCCCTTTCTTTTTCTAATGCACTTTATATATATTAGGTACATGCAAGGGAGTTCTCCACTGCATCTAGTTGCAGATATGGAGTAGGCCACACCCCCAAGGATTTGTCATCAGGTTGTAACCTGAGTAAGGGATTGCTTGGAGTTGTTTACCTTAGGTTAGGTCACATTATGGGGGAGTCCTTACTGACAAACTATCGAAGATCGTGGTCCAGCCAGGTTGACACAAAATCTATTACAGGTACCTTTCACGTTCTACTTCTAATGCTCTGTTTTATTCACAATGTTCTACTCCTGGATTTAATGAAATATTTTCCTCCTTTTAGCTGAACACAGTACTAGAATTGCTTATTCTAATCTCCCTTTCCTTGAGTTTTTATTTCTAAATTCATTTGTAGAAAGTTATCATTTAAATAGTTTCATTAAAAAATCTAGATGAAAGTATCAACATTTTTTGATAGGAGACAAGTGAAGAAAAGTTGGAGATAGCACATCATTCCATATAGTCAAAACTAGACATTGAAAAGGTAAAATCTCATTGATGAAGCATACAACGTTCCTCTAGTTCTTTAATGCTTCCTCCCTGCTCACTATCATGACCCCAAATCTACCTTACAAATCCAGCTAGACCAGAGCATGTACACTGGGACAGATAAGAGCTCACAACACAGGGAATCCAGGACAGATAAACTCCTCAGGACCAATAATGAATAGTGATACCAGGAGGGTAAGGGAAAGGTGGTGGGAAAACGGGGGAACTGGTCACAAGGTTCTACATATAACCTTCTTGCAGGGGGACAGACAACAGAAAAGTGGGTGAAGGGAGACAGTGATCGGTGTAAGACCTGAATATTTTTTAATAAATTATCAAGGGTTCATGAGGGAGGGAGAGTGGGGGAGAGGGGAAATGAGGAGCTGATATCAAGGGTTCAAGTAGAAAGGAAATGTTTTGAAAATGATGATGGCAACATATGTACAAATGTGCTTGACACAACGAATGTATGCATGGATTGTGATAAGAGCTGTAAAAGCCCACAATAAAATGATTTCTTTTTAAGAAAAGAAAAGGCAAAATCTATAACCATTGCCCCAGATTCCTGGCTGGTTCAGATGATGCTACTTACATATATTTTTCTACATTTACTTACATTTATTTATTTCTCTTAGAAATGTGTTCTTTTAACTTCACATAATTTATTATTTCAATTATATCCTTATCCCTGACTTTGCCAAACCCTTTTAATCATCTGAGAGTAAAAATGATGCCCTCTTGATTTTGCCAATTTTCAGTTTTTTGCTAGAAGTACCATCTTTTTAGAAGTCCCACTCATTTTCTAATTGTTTTAACAACTGGCTTTGCCTTCATAATTTTCTGTTTGACTTAAAAAACAAATTAGTAGTATTTTGTCTTTTGGAAAAAACAAAACCATAAAAATACACATTTTTTTCTTTCAAAAGAATCCACAAACTGGCAGGGCTGCTTATAACTTCTAGGAAGTGCTAGAAAAAAAATGCATGAAATGTTAGAAGAATTACGAGGAAAACACTCTTTTCAAATATAAATGTAAGAACCAAAGGTGGATGCCCAAAGGATTATCTCTGCAAACTTGTTTATTCACTGTTTGGCTCCACTAATTTAGACTTTGGATAATCCAGACTGATGGAGGAAACCAGCAGTTAGATCATCTCAATCTAACTTACAGATAGGCATATGTGGAATGTACAATTTCTATGTAGTGTGTCTATGTAAATCTATAGTTACATTTTACATTGAACTAGTTCCTGTGGAGTCAATGCTGACTCATAGTGACCTCAACTGTCAGAGTAGACCTATGTTTCATAGGGTTTTCTAGGTCTGATTTTTCTGAAATAGATTGCCATGTCTTTCTTCTGAGGCACCTTTCGGTGGACTCATACTTCCACCCTTTTAATGAAAAGAAATCAGCATGCTAACCGTTGGCACCACTCAGGAACATAATTTGCATTAGATTGTTAGTACTGAAATATAGGAAGACAGTCGATATAAAATGAACAGGGTACATGTGGATAATTATATTTGCTTAACTTCAACAGCAGTACTAAAATGCAAAATTCTCGGTTTGTAACACAAGTTGCTGGAGGCTGATGGTGGGTACAAGCCTATGGAAAAAGAGAAAGAGTTCCTATTCCATTGATTTCACTAAGTGGTCACTGTTCTCCTCATGCAATAAATGCCCACCCTTTCAAATGACACATGAGATTAATGGAGCATTGAAGGTGGGGTGGCATCTCTGCTGAAAGGTGATTCCTAAAGAAACATTTATTTTTTAAAGTAGCCTTATTTTTTTACAATAAAACTTTTATTTGTTATATATATATTAAAAGATGGAAGTTAAAATCATCGAGAAACCTATCATTTAGAGATAAACTTTCTAGAAACATTACTATATATATTTATAGAAATAATTTAAAATATGAGTATAGACTATCACAATGCTGTTCTCTAACTTGCTTTTCTTACTCATAATTGTTTTTTGTAAAATGTTACCCTTTGGACAGGAGCCTGGTGGAGTAGTGGTCATACGTTGAGCTGTTAACTGCAAGGTCAGCAGTTTGTACACATGAGCCACTATGCAAGAGAAAGATGATGTTTTCTATGCCTGTAAAGATTTACAGTCTCAGATGCCCAGCAGAGCAGTTCTAAACAGTCTTATAGGGTCGTTAGGACTCGATGGAAGTGAGTTTGAGATTTTTGAGTTTCAAAGACTGTGTTATACCAGTTTACATCCTAACCATGGAAATACCAAATGCTCATTTCCCCAGGTAGCATGTAGCAGAGTTTTTTTGTTTTCTAATTGAGGGATTTTTGCCATATATAAGTTTTTGCTGTTCTTGATTCATTTTTATTTTTCCCAAAGCAAAGTTTGGTGCCAAACACAATGTTTATCTCCTAACATTTGAAAATAAATGATGCTCTCATCATACGGGCTTTGATGGACCTATGTTAGCTCCATCTAACAAACCTGTCCAGGCTCAAGCTTTTGGCATGGAAGCATCATTACTTTTATTTATTCACTTACTTAAAAAAATTGTGACATGGATCAAAGTTTAGAGAGCCCTTATGTACAACCCAACAAAACACTGCCTGATATATGCATATATTTATAGGTTTAGTATTAAGGTAGCAGAATGACATTGGGCCTCCACTCAAGTACTCCCTCAATGCAAGAATGCTTTCTTCTATTAAATTGGCATTCTATGATGCTCACCTTCCCGACACAACCGCTGAAG